CGTTTTTCCTAAAAGATGAGTGAGATTTGAAATAAGGTCATCTTAAACAATCAAAGTAAGGCGAACCTTCAAATTTTATCAAAGATATTGTTTTGGTATTAAAAATTCTTAAGATGGCATAATTGAAACGCAATTGAGCTATGTACATAATGGCGACAGCGTAAGATGTATGAGCGAGTTGATAGGGATGTAAATAATGATTGGAGCGTGAGATTAGTATAAGCAAATAGATTTTTTTAACACTGCTCCATTTTATTGGTGTGTAGGTGTGTTCTAAAGATTTTATGATTCCATTTTGATTTGGAATGTATGATTGAATGAAATCGGCTATTGCCCTTTTTCCTACCATTCATGTTTTTCTAAAAAATAATATATCAAAATTTTTGAGATGAAATAGTCAGATGTATTTTTTGAATTTTCTATGAAACATAGCTGATTAATAATAGAATACGAGTAATGATCCTATGAGACCTACCCACACTTATGTGTGTAGGATCCCAAAAGATCACCATTAAATTTGGCACAGATCTCTAGAAAAAGCATTATATGGGTGTGGGAGTTGATTTTTTTAGAGATCTGTGTCAAATTTAATAGTGATCCTTTGGAGTCCTACACACATGGGTGTGGGAGGATATCATATGATCATTACTCATATATAAATAATATAATGAACCATAATAGTATACATAAATATAAAAATAATAATAGTATAACACCATTTTTAATGGAAATATGTAAAATAAAAGATGAAATTGATTAAAACCTAGAAACCCTTTCTTCCATTTATGGAAGCTATTATTACTAGTAAATTATAAATGATGATAACTTTTTTGAACATTACATTTCTATCCAAAAATATTTTAAAAAACCCCAATATTAGTAAAGTAGAACATTAAAATATTCTAAAGTTAAAAAATCGATAAAAACATAGTTTTCTCAAGTTAATAATTACATTTCTACCCAAAAATAATTAAAAAAACCCCAATATTATGTAAATTAGAATGTTAAAATATTATAAAATTAAAAACTTGGTAAAACATAGTTTTCTCAAGTCATTAATTAAAACTTCTAATGAATTATTAATATTTTAAGAATTTTTTTTGACAATTATGGCCCTAATTCTATTTTAATATACATGGATTAATACCTCATTAAAAACAAATAAATCATCCAAGAGAATAAATAAGTAATTTATTTATTTCACAAGTTTCCTCATTAGTCTCCTCCAATAACTCAAAATTGTCAAAAATATATTATCCACATCCTTGTTGATTTGTTTTTCAATTTTGAAAATTACGTTGCAATTTATAGCTCAAAATTGTCAAAAATATATTATCCACATCCTTGCTGATTTGGTTTTCAATTTTGAAAATTACGTTGCAATTTATAGTGGAAGGGTAAGTTGTTTTTATTTATAGAGATAAGAGGTTATCGTGTTAAAAGCATGTGAGTAAACAATGTTATTAGTTGCGATTCTACGTTATAATTCATTCCAAGAGTTAGATACGGACTTTAGAATTTTAGGTAAAATACATAATGCTCTATATATGGGTCGAAATAATATAGAAAGTCGGTCAATTTATTTATTTATTTATTTATTTTTTCTAAACTTGCCTCTTGGTCAACTTAAATTTTGAATTTTTTTTAATTTGTTCGCTAGTAGGGCAGTGACTCAAGCTTTAAGGCACTGTCGTACTAATGAAAAAAAAAAAAAAAAGGTCAAATTTTTGGTTGACCAATGGTCAATTTTGGAAAAAAAAAGAAAAAGAAAAAGTTGATGGACCTTGTTTGTAATTTTCACTTGTAAGTAAAGTATTTTGTATTTTACCTAAAGTCCATACGTAAATCACTCTAATTCAAAATGCAAATCGTACCGTGTAGAAAGTATGAAATTATGTGATTCCATTATTCTCAATTCGTGCGTGAGGCATTGTAATTATATTTTGGGCATAGCGAAAGTAAAATGTATTTATCATATTTGGAATAACTACTTTTTAAAATCTCTAAAAATTGGAGATAATTGATACAACTTTTCGAACCTCACACCTGTTGTCCAACTCGAGTTCTTTGACACTCAATTGGGAATGCCTTCCTAGGTCTCTTTATACCTTTTGTACATGTCTAATCTCTTACCCTAAAGTTAAGGTATCCTAAGTTCTTAACCTATACCTTGACATCTTCGGGTTTTTTTTTTTTGTTTGTATCCATTCTTAGGAAAAAGTTTATATAAGGATGCTACCTTATAATGTAGAACGTTGGATGCCCTAAAAAATCCATTGGAAAAAGTAGTTTTAATGTTGAAAAACGATTTGATTGATCATCTCGACATCGAGATGTATGACTATGAAAAATAAAAAGATTTTAAGTCTCATAAATAGTGCATTTTACAACATATTATCTACACCGTCCATTTTCAAGATTTTCATATGTTTATAGATCTACTTGATTTTAACCATTTTTTAAATTTAAAATTAGATATAAAAATAGATTTTGAGATAATCCTATGAACATTTTACATCAAAATTATATACCATGATAAAATTTGAAGGTGCACCTTAACTCTACACCTATAAATGCGTCCATATGCAAATTGCACCCCTATTGTTATTTTATTTTATGCTTACTTTGTTCATCACATATATTTTTATAACTTGGAAAAGTCGTAGTTGGGTGGTTGGTACAAAGATATCGTAATCACTCTTCTCTCTCAAATTTCAAATTGGGTGGTTGTAGGAGGGTCATTGACTAAATTAAAAGTGATAAATTTTTTTTCTCAAACTTCGTAACTTATCCTAAACTATCTAATTTGATATCTATTGGTTAGTAGCAATTGTGAGGTTTTTATAACAAAGTAAATTGTCTCATAGTATACAATCCCAATTACTCTATTGTAGATATCTACACTCTTGTACAAAATTTAAGGCGCATTGACCTATCTTCTCTCATTCAACAGTTTATTTCTAGTTGAATGCTAGTGCTCTACCCATAACTGTGGTTTAATATCTATAGAAAAAAAAAAATTCCACTTATTTATAGGCTTGTGTTTTTCTCGACCAAAGGCACATGTATCGGGATATAATGGTAGGGTTTCAACGAATACAAAAGCCAAGACTATTCTAGATTTTGTTCTCCCCAAAATGTCCCATTTTTGTCTTTCCAGAAAAAGAAAAAAAAAAGGATGGTTATACAAAATCTTAAAGGATCTGGTTTTTATGCGGCCAAGCCCACATATGTAGAAATACACGTTTTTTAATAGATCGAGTTTTGAGATGGATTTTAATACTTAATTTATAAGAACCTATACTTTTTAACATGGAGATCATGAATATGAAAAAACAAATAAATTTTAAAAACTAAAAGTAATAATTCTAGTAAAAAAACATTTGGACCATTAATTTCTATTATTTTTAGATGGAACACCTACTTGCATTCATCATTAAGATGATGCTTTACACTTTCTGGACTGCATATGTAGAAATGCGGTCCAACTCTCATGAAACAATTTTCCTAACTTAAATGACGGTGGTTTAAGGTCTTAAATAATGGTGGTTTTGAGTTAAGGATGGGTATTGGGGGGAATCTCCTGTCCAAGAAATGTCCAAACATGCTCTTAGTGAAAGAGAATTAAAGAACGGCTCATTGGATTGGAATAATACTGAATAAACAAAACGTTATAAGAACCAAAATATAAACAAGAATGTAAATCTTAACTTGTAAAAGTCGACAGGAGCAAGCTAACAAATAAATACACAAAATTAATGATTTCTTCTCAGTATAAAATTGCTAAAATTTACTTGGCAACGGGCGGGGCCAGCGCTGGTCTTGGCCGGCTTTGTCCCCCTAGGGCTAGCTTGTGCCTGGTAGGGCCGGGCTAAAAATAAATGAAGAAAAAATAAAATAAAATACTATGAGCATCGGGTCAGGTTAAGTGGCCCAACTGGATCGAATGGGTCTAGAGCTGGCGCTAGCATAGCTTTGGGCCACAGTTTGTGGCTTGGCCCGTACCCTTTTTTAGGGCCAGGCCTGGGTAGGCCACCGCGGCCCATTATATATATATATATATATATAAAATCTTTCCAATGCCTATAAGCGAAAATAAATAGTGATTTTGTCTACTCTCTTCACCGTCCAAATTTCATCATGCGGTCACGATTATTCGATATTGTTTTATTTTTAATTTTTTTTCTATAAATCAGAATGATGTGAAATTTTGAGAGTATAAATATCTTACTGAGATGCATCTAATAAAATATAAAAAACATTATCTGTGAAAACTAAATTGACCAAAATACCCTCGAAAAATTTTGGGGGTATTTTGGTAAAAAATTTTCATGTAAAATAATTTTGTTATAATTTTTGAAGATTCCTCTATTTTTGATGAATACACACTCCAAATTTCAAATCATTTTGATTTGTAGAAAAAAAAATGAAAAATAAAACACTACCGGATAATCGTAACCGCGTATTGAACTTTGGACAGTGATGGGAGGTAGGTGAAATAACTGTTCATTTTCGCCTATAAGCATTGTGTAGTGTTTTCCATATATATATATGAAAACTTTTAACAACGTCTATTGACGAAATTGAATAGTACTTCGCCCCGTCACAGACATGCTATGTTCGTTACAGTTTTGCCTAAAAAACTATCATGGATCTACGAGAGCCGTGATGGTTTCCCGTGTTTTATTGCGTGAAAAAATAGCACCACAGACATGTAATCGGACGGCAATGAGCGTGTGGACGGAAATACTGTTCTTTTTTGCTCATAGACGTTCCATAGTGTCTTTTATATATATATATATATATAACCTTAAAGTGCCCACCCACCTAAGATTCAAATGCCTACCTACCCAAAACTTGAATAGTGGAATTCAATAAGCAAAAATTAGTTGAGGGTCTCCATCTTGGGGAATTCAATGATCGAGATCCCCTGGGTGCTTGCTCAAAACTGCATCCCAGCCGTCCATCAAAGGCGCGTAGGCCCTATAAATAACAACGAGGTAACAACCCATAGCAGGGGTAGGAAGATAGAATGGGTGTCGAGCTTCATGGACTTGCTATGTCGACATCCACCGCGCGTGTGATAGCATGCTTTGAGGAGAAAGGCCTTCCCTTCGAGCTGGCGCCTGTGCGCGTGGAAGTCGGGGCCCATAAACAACCGCCCTTCCTCTCACTCAATGTATTGTTGCTTCTCGGTTTTCTGGCTTAATTTTCTCTCTCTCAATGTTGAAAAGTCGGATGAGTCCAACTCGGCTTCTTTTGAATTTTTTGGACTCGGCGGCCCGCCTATTCTAGAATCAAAACATATGAGAATCGATCGAGTCTTCCCCGGTTTCTAATATTTTATTACGTTTTTTTACTCAAGCAGGTTTATAACCTACTTGGCTGAGTCTAGACCTGAATTAGGCTCTGACCCAAGTGAGTCCTAGCCATAGTCCTTGTTTTTTAACTTGGGCCTAATTGGATAGTGGAGGAATGAGTGTATCTCCTACTTTCTTTCTTATTTTCTTGATGTTGATAGCCTTAATAGAATATACAATTTCATTTAGAGAAAGTATACGATAAGTAAATTTTCTAGGATGGTACGGCCTTTAGCGATTAGATGTGAAATCTTGTGGTTAGAGGTGTACCATCGATTAATACGTGAAAAAAATGATTAGTCGGCCGAAAAAACTTTATTGAACTATATGATAACTTTTAACCCTCTTAATATGTGAAATTTCACTGTTAAAAGTGATGGTGCCCTTTTTTTACCCGTTCATAGTCTTATAATATATGATTGCGACTATTTCATATTTTTGTCCTTCTTTTGCAGCCATTTGGTCAGATTCCAGCCTTTGAAGACGATGAAGTCAAGCTCTTTGGTGAGTGGATTTATAGGAAAGGAGAATATGGATTTATAGGAAAGGAGAATAAGGTCCCAAAATATTTTTTTTCCTCTTCACATACATCCATCTGTTCTAGTTCATTTCAGTTTAAAAGGAAATAGGAACTTCATAAACTCTCCATGCCAATTATAGTTATCAATTAAAAAGTTCAAACAATCACCCTTATTCTTTAAATTTTAAAACGGATGGTTATAAGAGTGTCATTGCATAGACACAAAGTTCCAAAAACAAATTTTCGAACTTCATGATTTACTCCAAGCCATTCAATTTGATATCTAATGAGTGAAAATAGTTGTGACCTCGAAAATAAATGATATCTTTTTACACAATCCTATTTTTTAATGTTACACCTTCAAGACAACAAATTAACTCTTAGTGCATCTTGGGGAGAAAAGATTAAAAAAAAAAAGGTTTTTAGATTAGTGAAAGTACAATGTGCATTGAGAACAGCTTCTAGGCAGAGGTGGTCATTGTGTTGTCATATACGTCTCATATCCATTCTAAGAAGGTTATAAGTTAATATTAATTTTGGAAAAATTATAAAAAACCCCCAAAACTACACTTATGCAACTCAAACCCCCCCCCTCCTTTCTCCTTCTCCTTCCCCTTCCCCTTCCCCAACCATCCCAAAAATTAAAAAAAAAAGGTAGAACTACCCTCACTTTCCCACACTTCTCTCCTCCCATACTTTACCCTTTCCTTACACCTCTCTCTTTCCTCTTTCCTACGAGACCTAATTTTTTACCGCAAGAGGACCCACAGTCCACAAACGCACTCACGGCCCAAGCTCCGTCCCTTTCTTGCGCTCTCTGCCAGCTTGAGTTCTTTCCCTCTCCCTCTTCAAATGATTTTTTGGCCTGAGTCCTACTATCTCTCTCTCTCTCTCTTCTACTGTCTCCTTGAATCCAGGGCACGATCTCTCTATGTGAAACATCTATCAATTTCTTTGGCCTAGCCCAAGCCCCCAAAGCCTGAGCTCGATTTAATGATAATGGTATTTGGTTTCCCTCCCTAAATTGCAACTCTATTGCAAATTATTTATGATTACAAAATGGACTTAGCCATCAAATCCATCTTCCACTTGAAAACAGTTTCACCACCACCTAAAAGTAACACGTAACTCCAATTCTCATTATTATTAGCTAATATGTAACACCACCCAAATGCAAAAGAAAAAAAGAAATAAAGATTGAGGGGCAGAGAGAGAAAAGGATCCAACAGTGGATTAAGAGCTCCGGCATTGTGTAAGTGCGCTTCGATAGTGGAACACTCTAGAGTCACAAGGCTCCGATACTGTGTATGTGCGCTCCAGCACAAGGTTCCGACACTGTGTATGAGCGCTCCGACACTGTGTATGTGCGCTAATGGAACAACATTGAGTGCCCTAGATTGAATTTATGTTGATTTTATAAACACATATATTTACTACAATAACTTTTATATACGAAAGGGCTAATGGAACAACATCGAGTGCCCTAGATTGAATTTAGGTTGATTTGATGTTTATTTTGATGCCCATTATGACAACTCACTATTTCAATTTTATTAATCCAATTAATATGTAATTTTAGGAATATGAGTGTCACACGGAAACACACCAAAAAAATTTAAAATTAATAAAAATTATTTAAAATGATCATAATATACCTACCCTAGTCAATGAATGTGGAAGGGGTAATTTGGTCATTTTATATTTTGCATCATTGAAATTTCTCAAATGGATACATAAAAAATTTGAAATTCAAACAATGTTTATACATGTTGGTTATTGGATTAGGAGACCAGTGTTAGACTACTCAAGTGAGCCAACACAAACTCACTCGAGTAACTCGGTCTCCCCGCTCTGCGAGCACAAGTATTACTAGTTTGGTAGTTGGGATCTTAAAAGAAAATAAAATAGAAAAACATTAAAACTATAAACAATCCAAGAAAATAAGAAATTTATTTGTCATTATTTATTATTATTATTATTATGTTTTTTATCATTTTGGCAAAGATTGAGAAGTGTTTTGGCTAAAAATACTTATTTTTAGATTTTCTCTTTCTCGTCACAAATTAATTTTTTCAAAATCTATTTTTTTACTACTTTTTTAACCTCATTGAGAGATGTTTTGTTTAATTTTCCTTTGAACAAATTTTTGAGATTTTTTTGTTTTATTATTTCTTTGACACTTTTTGCCAGGACCTGCCCAACTCTGATCAAGTAACTCGGCCCAGGTAAGCAGTGTTACACGGACATTTTCGAAAAAAAAAAAAAAAAAATTGTCGCATGATGACACGGGTTGTTCATGTCATGAACTTCATTGCAACGACACTCTGCATCAACATGTACATCGAATGTGTCTAATATATAGACAACCCATATTGTTTTTTTTTTTTTTGAGGAATATTTCATGCAACGGTGGTATAATAGTATAACGCAACCACATATTTAAAAAATCATGTTTTTGACATTTGTATGACCCCAAAATTTGCTCACACATTATTTTCATCCTCATAATCAATCTTACAAAAAAAATTCAATTTGCACCATAGATATGGTCAAAATTAGTACCCTCCAAGAATGAATCTCGACTGTCCATTTGGTGAATTTCAAGATATAGGCCTTGACAAATTCAAAATCACTTTTTTCTGTTTTAGCATTGTTAATTTAATGATGCTAATGCTATATAAAAATTTTGAGAATAAAAAAGTCCTTATGAGGCCTATATCTAAATATCTCACTAAAATAGACGGCTTATATTAATTGGACTAGAAAAACACTTTCTACAACATTTTTTCAAAATTTACCCTTTTGTGATTGTTCTTTAGAATTAAAAGAAAGTACATTTAAAGATTTGTATCAAACAAGTGTCTCTAACATGGTTTTTGAAGATGGTTGCATTATACTATTATACAACTGTTGCATGAAATCATTCCCTTTTTTTTTTTGGTATTAGATAAAAAGGCTCATCTTTCATGGGGCTCGAAACCACAAATTGTGATGGGGATGTTAAAAATTTTAATTACTATCCCACTAACTTAATTTGTATTCTTACAAGGGAGATATATATCACTTTCGAATTGTCTACAAAGAGACTAGTTATCTTTAGAGCATGAATGTCATAATCATTCTCACTCATTAGACGTCAAATTAGATGGCTTGAGTTAAGTTACGAGGTCCAAGAACTTTACAACATTGCATTTATTAGTTGAAAGCTTAATGAACATTGGTCAAATAAAAAGGGAAATGCATGCATACACCATCTACTTTTAATATAAAGAGTTTACAACTATTTTTGTCCGTCAGATTTCAAATCACGTAGTTATGAGTGTGTAATTGATTAGAGTCAAAGTTCAAAAGAAAAAAATTCTCAAACTTTATGATGCACCGCAAACCATCTAATTTGATATCTAATGGCTAGGAGCAATTGTGTCTTCATTGTAACAAAGATAAATGATCCCATAATATACAATTACAATAAAAAAACTCTACGTTTAAATACTGTAAAGGGACTAATAAAAATAATTGGGTGTAGTTTTAATAAGTTCGCAACCTTAAACAATCCAATTAAGGGTGCCCCTTCAAAGCTCATTGAAAGATGTAATTTTGGTTTGGAAAATTGAATGATGACCTGAAAACTTACTTTACTTCTAATTATGTATTTTCACACTAAAAACTGATACATATTGAGCAGATCTACAAGCACATGAAAATATTGATAATGAACAGTTTAGATAATGTATCATAAGATGTACCCTTTTTGGTACTTTAAAATCTTTTTTCTTTTTTTTTCTCATTCATACATCTTGATGTCGAGATGACGAATTAAAGGGTTTTTCACCATCAAAACAACCTTATTCTCTAGATTTTTTAGGTGTGATTTTATCAATTGTTTAAAGTTGCAACTTTATACAAACTCTTTCGTAAGAATTTCTTATGCACAACACATTTATTAGAAGTGGAAACTCAAAATAGTTAAATACTTACTTACGCTGTTAAAAAAAATCCTAATAAAACGTTCATATTCATTCACGCTTATGCATATATATGAGATATTATCATATTAATAAGATTTTAATTGTGGTTTATATTTTAAATTTAAATTGCGTTATGTTGGACTCAAACTAACCCCTTAATACACATATAAAACAATAAATGGTTCTACCAATGCAATTGTGGAAGATGTTCAATATAAATTGCACATAATATTATTTTCACGTAAACTAATGTTACATATGTTAATTTGCTTGTGAATAATAAATTTATAATTTTAACTTCTGCATCTTTATTTCTTAATTTTTATTTATTATTTATATCTAGTTATATATAATGGTTGTACAGACATATGCACGTCATACTGGATTTTTGGACTGAAATACTAGACACTCAAGACGCATACTAGATACAAGGCCCATATCATGTCTATGTAATATTGCTAGGTTGATCATAATCCATCAATTGGCAGTGAGTGTGTGTGTATTCCATTTCCCATAATCCACAATAAAAGGAAAAGCAGACCATCCTTCGTTCGTGTACGGTATATGTACACAAAGAATCTACGACGAAGAAGGGCTTCAATCCCTATTGACTTACCACTTTTGAGAATGGGGATGGGGTAATATCCCCCACCCTAACCACCATATTAAAAGTCTACTGTAAGTCCCCTCATGATTCCACCCTTGTTTTTTATGGTCATATAAAACACATATTAAATCAGTGGAAATACATTTTTGCTATAGATCCAAATTTTTTTCAACTCCAAAAATAATGCAGATCTGATGAATCATAAAGAAATTAAATGAACAGAGTTGAAAAGGTTTTAAAAACTATTTTTAAAAAATTTAAATTTATTTATTTTTCTAGATTCACAATCACAATGGTCGAAATTATCGACCCCACAAAGTTTAGATCGAAAATCCACCTCTAAGATAGATTTTAGAGTGGAGACGCATATAAAATGGTATGTCCACAGAATAATGGCTTAGCAAGAACATAGCCCTGAGGGATCGTCGACGTCAATTGAAATGAAGGGTGATGGAGAGAGAGTGGTACTTTTTTGAGAAAATGGGATTCACTAAACTAAGACATGCCTTAAATGGTTGGACCCTCTCTCCCTATATCTATGTCGACCATTTCAATAAGATGGTGATAACCCCAAGGACTACTCTTTCAATAGTTTTTAGATTTAAAATATAATTTTCACCTTTTTTTTAATACAAAATATATTGTTATGATCAAATTTTGTATTAAGAAGCACAGTTAAACCTAAATTACAATCCACCCGACCTCCCCTCATTTTCACTTGTCACTTCGTCAGAGTCAAGGGCAAAAACGAATTACATCTCGAACAAGTACAACGAAATTGGAGCCGATCTTCTGAGATTCGGAAACGTCCCTGAGTTTGCCCTCGTCTTGGTATGGATGGAGGTCGAAGCTCACCGATTCAACCCCCCAATCTCAGCCATTGTGCGTGAAGCCTTAGTCAAGCCAGCATTTGGGGCCACAACAGATGCTTCAGTGATCGAGGCTGAGGCCAAGAAGTTAGCCAAGGTATTGGATGTGTACGAGTCAAGGCTATCGGAAAACAAGTACTTGGCCGGAGAAAATTTCTCTTTGGCTGATCTTCACCACCTTCCCTATATACATTACCTCCTCAAAACATCGAAGGCAGATCTGATTACTTCTCGGAAGCATGTTAAGGCGTGGTGGGATGACATTTCCTCTCGCCCCTCTTGGAAGAAAGTCTCAGAGAATATGAAGTTTTAGGGTTTAGGGTTCAGGGTTTTAACTAGTTTGAATGAAATATAGCTTTCTTGAAACTTGCTTATAGTTAAGTTTGGAATTATTTTTTCCTCTGCATTTCTAATTTCATGATCTCCTTTCCTCATTTGTAAAGCATTTCGATCATATTCCAATAAATTCGCATTAGAAGTGTTATCTAGTTTTTGAATTGAATTGGTTTATTTAAAGCATTTTGCTTTTTAAAAAAGGGTGGGCAAATGGCATATTAAACTTATCACATATCTTTAATATTAATTTAGGGCATTGGAGTTGAATTTTTAAAGGTTAACATGAGTGTTTATTGATTTTATTTAATTTAACATGACTTGTACACAATTTATGTTACTTGCAAGTTGCAATTACTTTGTTTAAGGAGCTTCACACATCACTTTCATTGTATTCAAATTAAATGATTTTGTTGTGGCTTAGGATGGTCTATTTTAAGCTTCCCAAGAGGCTACACTCGCAAAATAAAGCTTATCGATAATCTTTCACTTGTTGAGGACCATAGCATACTCCCTTGGAGCGCATACTGTATACTTACTCCCTTGGGTGAAAGACTAATATCATTGGTTCTTTTTCGATCTAAGATTTTGGGGTCCTCCTAAGAATCACTAGATGATTATTTTCGTAACAAACTGGAATTTGAATTTTTAGCACTTGAATCTAATATTCTAAAAGTTGAATGGTCTATGTCCAATCGTAGGACATTATTCTCTTCAATAACAAACAAAGTACACTTGAATTTTTATTTTTTATAGGCAGGTTGCTAACCTAAAAATACTCCTAAATTGAGTTTTACCAGAGAGAGAATAGAGGAAATGCTCCCAGTGGTACATAAAATATTAAGTTACTTATTTAGTTAATGGATTTGGTTTTGTCAGTTTTCCTTTGGTTTTTCTAGCTCACTCACTTTCTGATTTCTAAAACAATGATTCAACGACCTATTCCCATTCAAACTTTTACGAATGGATGTAGTTTCTGTAGGGCTAGATTTTATGAAAACAAAATAAAACCTCACCTCAAATCCTCATTCAGAAAGTATTTTTGGCATCTAAAATCTTATGATTGTTTTAAAATTAATTTCCAATACTGACAATAAAATTTGAAACTCAAAAGATAGTACAGATCTTGTGGTTTTGTGAACACTTAGTTTTAGAGGGAAATTGACGGTCTAAATGATTTGTTGCAATATACACTATTTTTAAAATTTAAAATCCTATGTTTTTCAACACTTGATTTGCAATAATGAGTTATAAGTGGAGGCTTTACCTATTTTGATAGGGCTGCAGCCCTATCAAACCATTTTCCTTCAAGAATATAAGCAACATCCACCAAAAAAAAAAAACTTAGTACAAGCAACGAACTCGAGTGATGTAAGCGAAGTTGAATACCACCAATTGACCTAGTAAAAAAAGCCTTATTTTGACACAAGGAGGGTAATTGTGAAATTGTTTTGGGTGTACACTATCGAGAAGTATAATACTCCAATTATGACCATAAAAAATTCGACAATCTCTGATTATTTTTTCTTATTTTTATTTTTTGACAAAAGTTATCCAAGTTTTATTGTTGAAAAAATGTGGCATCATTACTAAGGAATCAAGAGTTATTCCCTTCTGTATGATGTTAGCTTCCCAAACCAACCCCCAAATCCTTTATCCTTTACCTAGGGGAGGAGATAGCTATCGACCAACAAGTCTATACTGACGACCACAGGAAAATACAATATTAGGAAGATTTAAATGAATATCAATCTCCATAATGCCATTTCTTTATGATAAATTTATGCACATATCCCCTACAGTTTTTGTTAATAAAAATCCCCCTATTTTATTCTTAATTTGCCACTACTTTGAATCTTTCAAAGATCCAAAGTCATAAAGAGATTTTATAATTTCATACGGAATATAATCGTAAAATTTTTATTTTATTTTATTTTATTGAAGTTGATTGCTAGGTTCCGAAAGTTACTTTTCCAAAATTTGAGATCCCAAAACAATTTTAAATGGGGTTCTACCCGAGGGACTGAGCTCTCTCGCATGAATATATAATCCGTGTTGGTTTATTTTCAATTTTTATAATCGACCTATAGGATTAGGCATCTTGACGTCATCACACCTAATACCAATTACTTAATAAATATTTTGAGTAAATAAATGAAAGTTATGTTTTGTTAATCGATTTGGTTAATCAAACATGCGAGAAAGGTTGAAGTCCCAACTTTGAATTTTGTACCTTATCGAATATTCTACACTGAAATTAAAAAGAAGAAAAAGAATCCAATAATCCTAACAAAAATATGGCCAAACTAAGTCACACATACACATATTTATGGTTATGGGTTTAAGAGCTAGCTTGTCTATGGTATATTATAGGGTAGATGGCCCAGATTCAACAATCTAGATGGCTCATGTTCATTAACAAGTGTGGTATTTTTTATTGTTTATTTTTATTTTTTTTGTGAGGCTGGGTTTTACGCACCTCTCTACATCAGCTCAAAAAGATTTATAAAAATACTTATAAATAAAATTCTCCTATATTCAATAGCTGTTGAATATGCTCAAAATGAATTTATGTGATTCAACCTAGGCTGGCCGGCTCATGAAATCATTCAATTGGACAGAAATGAATTTGTGGCTTCCAAAACAATGTTGCACTTTTGATAAACAAATATGAGAAGGGCTGCACTGGTAGAAGCTATTGGTGGGGATGGGTCGTGTAGGGTCCAGGTCAAGGATAAGCTCAATTTGGAAAACCTAAATCATTAAAATTATAAGGAAATTACTAATAATCTTAGTAGAAAAAAAAAAAATTGTATATCGTGATCCTCACCAGCCAAAACAAAAAAAAGAAAAAAAAAAAAAAGCCAAAAAGTAAACGATCTTATATTGATGATTTTGGAAGGGAAAATGAGGTCATACCGAGAAGGACCACCAAATCATTTTCCATAAATTAAGTTCCCAAAAAAGTTAATTTAAAAGTGGGAGCGATATGGTGGAACCATGGGTTCAAACTGTAAATATAGATCTTCATCTATTACTACGGAAGAGTAGTTTTATTACCCAAAATCATCTTAAAACGTTTTTCATTTAACTAAAAGAATAGTTCTTTTTTTAAGAAACGAACATTTAGAGATAAAAAGAGCCCTGTTTTCGTGTACATAACATAATGGACGATTCAGTGAATCATAGAGTGCCTATGATATGGACCTTTTATTTTTACCCCCACACCATTTTTTAAACAATATTGATCTTGGAGAATAGGAAATATGGTTGGCGAATTTTGAGGTCCCTCAAACAACAGTAAATACTAAATAGGAGTGCTTCTGCGGTTCCAAATGAGCAATTTGGACCAACTTGTTGATGAAGCCTTTTGCCATGCTAAATTGAATCGGTCAATATCGCAGGTCTCAAAAGATACCTACACACATTTGCAAATTTACCAAAACCCAACCGTTCTTATGCACCACTAGAAAGGGTGTGGTTTGTACGATGCCGAGGCCCTGAGCAATTGAAGTAAGGTGCATCTTCAAATAGTACCGAAATAAAATGTTTCGATATTAGAAATTTTTATGATGGCTGAAAATAGTTTTTTATTTCTGATTATAAAATTTACATATCCAAAAGTAGTATAGATCGAGTAGATCTCCAAATACTTAAAAATCTTGAAAATTGATGGTCTAGATAATACATTATATGATGCATTGTTTCCAAGACTTGAAATCATTTTTTTCTCATGTCCTTATATCTCAGGTTGAGATGATTGATTTTGAAGTTTTTCAGCATCGAAACAATCATTTCTAGTGAATTTTTGAGGCGCCTCTTAATTCGATTGTTTAGGGCCTCACCCTTATATACATATTTTCCTTTTAGGAATTCTACAAGGCAAATGGCTCAGAAGCCATACTTTTTTATCTTTCCAAATACCAATTTATTTATGACAAAGAAGGCTAAAAAATGGGGAAATTTAGTTGTAAAATATGAACAATTCAATACTTTGGGCAGTGATTTCCTGCAACGACTGTAAATTAATATAATGCAAGAGCATTCAAAAACCACGTTAGGGCCATTTGTTTGATTTTAATATTTAAATGTACACTCTTTTCATTCTAACGAACAATCACAATAAAGAAAAATTTGAAAACGCAACTTAGAAAGTATTTTTTTAGCCCAATTAATATAGGTTGTCCATTTTGGTGAGATGTTTATATCTAGGCCTTAGCATGATTTTTTTTCTTTTCAAAATTTTTAGATAATCTTATTATCATTAGATTAATAATATTAAAAAATAAAAAAATTATTTTGAATTCATATAGGTCTAGATCTTTAAATTTATCAAATGGATGGTCTAGATTCATTGTTGGAGGGGACTCATTTTGACCATATATATGGTGCACATTATTATTTTTATTTTTAAATTGATTATTGAGATGAAAATATTGTGTGTGCAAATTTTAGGTCATACAAATATCACAAACATAGTTTTTTAGAAGTATGGTTGCATTATACTATGATACAATCGTTGCCCACTTTTATATCTTTCAATTTTTTTTAAAATATACCCTATTAAAAAATAAGTTGAAATAGTTGCAAATGGGCAACATGTTAAATACCCCATATGTTGTACCCTCGAGGTATTTTGATGTACCCTACTGGAATTTTGATAAATTTCCTAAAAAAAAACCAACAATTGAAATGTATTCCAATTTCGAAAGTAAAGCAAATTCATTCAACATTACAAGGAAATGTTTTTGGTGAGTCGGCCCCTCGGTTTTCAAGGGTTTTAGTACTTAATTTCCTCTTTAGATGTTTTTTTAAATTTGGAGCTCCAAAAACAATGCCGTTCTAATTATCTTAAAAGATTGGAAATAAATAGTTCAAAAAAAAGAGAGTACAAAATGGGCCATTGTTCAGGCTCAATTTTTTTCTTTTCTTTTCTTTTATTTGGTTCACCATCGCAATGAAAGAGATCATAAATGATAAAATTCTTCTTTATGATTTTGTTTTTTGTTCAAACAATATTAATAATGAGAATTCAATTTCATTTATCTTACGTTGCATTTATCACCTAATTTTAGTCCAGCTATGAAGATGCCAATATATTCGTAAGACAAACCTTTTCCTTTTTTTTTTCGTTGGAGCAAATATTTAACACCAGATATTTCAAAAGTTAATCATCTATCAAAAACTGTGAGGTAACTTCCCCTAATATTAAAAAGGGTGCAGTTTCCATACGGACGCCTTCGTAAGTATAGACGTACGATGCCTTATCAAATTTTATCATGGTATGTAATTTTAATGTAAAATATTATTAAGATTATGTCAAAATCAATTTTTATATCTAATTATAAAATTTTAAATTTCAAAAATGGTTAAAATCAATGAGATCTATAAACATATGAAAATCTTGAAAATGGACGGTGTAGATAATATGTTGTAAAATGTACTATTTTTTAGACTTAAAATCTTTTTATTTGTCATAGTCATATATCTCGATGTCGAGATGATCAATTAAAGGGTTTTTCAACATTAAAACTACCTTTTCCAATAGATTTTTGAGGGGGCATAGAACTACATTACAAGGTAGCATCCCTTATATAAACATTTTCCTATTAAAAATTGGTTTTCTATTTAAATAAGTAAATCTGCAGGACACACTATTGTTTATTAAGTCAATATGCAATATGGCTCAACGCATCTTGCGCCGGATAGAATCACGCCCATATCGATTTGTTTTTAATTTATTTTTGCCATGCTTCTTTCTTTGCAAGAAATCTGAAGCTTGAACTCCCAATATAATGCAAGTTCAAAATAGTCATTTCCAGAAAAGAGAAAAATGTAAGTACAACTTAGCACTATCTTGCGGGCCAAATTGGCCGGGTCTGGGTTCAGATAGCCCTGGCCTGAGCCCCATCCAAAAAAGTGTTGGGTAGGTCGAGCCCAGCCCGAATCACGATATGAAGCCAAAAAAGAGCTTGGATCGAAAAAAAATCAGGCTCAGGCAGAGCTAGCCGTATATAAATATTTAGCAGTGAGCATTTTAAAAAAAAAAATTCAGGCCTCACCTGGACCAAGTCTGAAAAAATTAAATACTTGGTATGATAATGATAATGATAATGATTTTTCAAAGTATATAAAACCCCAACCGGTGACGGGAAAGCACAGTAGAAACTAAAAAGTATACAACAATCCAACAAATCAAGGAAAAAAGTAGTGCATTAATGTCATCAAGGACCAATGAATCTGTTGTTTTATTTTTGGTGGCTCCTGCTCTTTCTCCTCCACAGCCAATTATTTTGTTGGACGTCGATCACCCCTTCTAATTGCTTGTTCCCAAGGTCCATTAAGTGATTAACGTATGGATCTTAAAATTTTAAGTAAAATACGAAATATTTTACATATAGGTAGAAATTCTTTTATAAAGAAAGTCCATCAATCCATTTTTTTTAACAAAAACATAAAAAAAAGGTGGATTGCATAACCCTTTTTTAATTTTGGCCTATACATGGAGAATTTTGTATATTACTTAAAATGTTAGGGTCTGTACTTAAATTACTCCTTTTTTTTCTTTTTTCTTTTTTAACAATTTATCACAGTACACCTTCCTTACAATAATGTCTCCATCCTTTGAAAAAGTCTCTAGCCCCTGTCATGGCAGATGTATTCGCATCACAGGAAGGAAAAAACTAAAAAAATTAATAGAAAAATTGTGCAGTAACGGTAACAAGGAGAGAAGAAGCTTCTCGAACCACCAACGCACAAAATTTGACCCCCTTATGTGTGCCTATAAATTGTAACCAAGACCTAAAGGAGGAGAAGCAAGGATAGAGAGAGAAGAGTTATTTGATCTATCTTTTAGTGTTAAGGGTTTGTTTGTTCGGTGAAAATGGCGATTAAGCTTCATGGGAGCTGGATGTCTACTGCCACACTTAGAGTTGGCGCCACTCTCTACGAGAAGGGCCTCGATTTTGAGCTGGTTCCAGTTGACCTCAGTGCCCATGAACACAAGCAAGAGAATTTCCTTTCCTTGAACGTATCTCTCTCTCTCTCTCTCTCTCTCTCGGATACTTGTTCTAGAATATTATTTATTTGAGTGATTTACTAGGACGTTAAAATTTTAGGTAAAATACAAATTGCACTATTTATATGTGGAAATTACAAAGAAGGTCGGTCAATCTGATCTTTTTCTTTCTTTTTTTTTTTTTGTTTTTTTTGTTTTTTTTTTTAATTACCCTTTGGTCAAATCTAATTTTTGATTATTTTTTTTAGTTTTTTCGTTGTAGGACATTGCCCCAAGCTTTAAGGCACTGCCCTACTAATGGAAAAACTTAAAAAAGAAAACTCAAAATATGGGTCGATCGATGGGCTGACAAAAACAAAAAAAAATGGGTTGACCGACCTTTGTAATTTTCGTATATAAGTGAAACATTTTGTATTTTAATTAAAATTTTAAGATTCGTGAGTAAATCACTCCATTTATTTTCATTTTAGCTATTTATATGGGTGCTCTCTCTCTTTTTCTCTCTCGGAATACTTGTTCAAGAATGTTATTTATTGTGATTTTAGCTATTATATGGGTGCTCTCTCTATCTAATGTTATTTATTTTTATTTTAGCTATCTTTTGATGGGTGCTCTCTCTCTATGTTTGGCAAATATTTATTGAAGAATATTATTGATTTTCATGTTAGCTCCCTTTTGATGGGTGTTCTTTGTATTGTTATATATGGCAGCCGTTTGGGCAGGTTCCAGCATTTGAAGATGGGGATCTCAAGCTTTTTGGTAATAATTTTATTTATTTCTACTTTTATATTTTTGGATCACGCCTTTAGGGATATTATTTTGGGTAATTCATGGGGTGTATTTATCCAAGAAAACTCAAGATGTTTTTGACACCCTGCTATCCTAGCCACCTAACCTTAAGTCTATTATATTTATTTTCAGCAGGGATCAGCGGGGAAAGTATCTCATCCTTGATCATTGTTACCCTGTATCCATTCCGAGAGATATTGAAAAAAGTGTTCCTCCTCCTATTTTCAAATAGCTTCCTCCTCCTAATTTTGAATAGTCTCTATTAGCAAATAGCAGGTCAGACCCACCCCCACAGACAAAACTTAGTGGCCCAAGCCTAAGCAGTTTAAGGCTAGGCTCCAACGCGCCTCCAAGCTCATTACTACCCTTATTATCATATTATAAATCTGGTTTAATACTCCATCCCAACTAGCCCTCAAATATGATTGTTTTTTCCATTCCAAACTTAGTTCCGAAATCTCTATTTTTACGAAACATAGGGCAAATGCATATTTTTTTATGTTAAGTGTAAAGCATTATTAGGAAATGTAAGTTGGTTCAAGTGGAAGGTTCAAAATAAATATAGGGTAGGTCCAAAAGATATGGTTGGAAGTAGATAAAAAAAATATAAAGAGAACACAACAACGGATCAAGATTCGTGCAGTCGGCTCCAAATAATTGAAAAAAAACTCTCTTAATGATGTTGATGGATATTTTTTCTATGTTTACTTCTATTATTTCTCTCAATGAGCACCTTCTTCCTCCTTTCCCAGTTTCTCTCCCCTCAGTTGAAGTGGGCTCCACAAAATCCTTTTACCTCACTTATTAAATTCCCAAATTGACCAAAATGTAGAAGAAGAAATCAAAATTATTCTCCTTTGTAGCTATGCATCTCCTCATACCCAAATTTCAAAACCCATTTCTTTACTCTTTTTTTCTCTTGGATGCCTGTTTCTTTTTTGTTTTTTGGAATGACAATTGACATAATACATGTTGATCCTTATAATTATGTACAACGGACATGCTATTCACCCTGATAAGGAAATTAACTTACAATTATGCAGAATCAAGGGCAATAACTAAATACATAGCATATAAATACAAGGAACAAGGCACAGAGTTGGTTGGAGCCAATTTTTCGGAAATGCCGATCATTGGTGTGTGGATGGAGGTTGAGGCTCACCATTTCGCAGGCCCCTCCACAAAGCTCGTATGGGAACTTTGTATTAAGCCTATGATCGGAATTCCAGTCGATGAGACAGTAGTCGAGGAGGCAACCGGCAAGCTAAACGGAGTCTTGGACGTGTATGAAGCCAGGTTAGCCAAGAACAAGTATCTTGGTGGTGATGAGTTCAGCCTAGCAGATCTCCACCACTTGCCCAACATTCGCTACATTCTGATGACACCTAAGGCTTCGCTCTTTACTTCGCACCCGCACGTGAGCAGGTGGTGGTCGGACATTTCTTCTCGCCCTGCTTGGACCAAGGCGGCGGCGCTCTCTGATGCGGCCATCCCTAAGCAGGCTTAGACTGCAATAAAATGAATGCAAATCTTACAGTTTGCTTCATTTCGCTTCCTTTTTGTTTTGCTTTAGGCGTTTGTTTTGCTGTCGAATGCATTATCCGATGTGTGAGGAAATGGTTGCTCCCATGTGCAGAAGGACCACACCATTTGGTTGTTGTAGCGTATAAACAATCTAGATGGCTCAGATTCAACAATCTAGATGGCTCACATTAATCTACAAGTATGGATTTTTCTTTCTCAACAAAATTTCGGCGCAAAAACATTTATAGAAAATTTTATAAATAAAATTCACCTATATACAATGGCTTGGGATATGCTCAGATTGAGTCTAAATCATTTGGCCTAAGTTTGCTGGCATATGACATCATTTAATCGAAAATAAAAAAAATTCCGGTTTCCAAAACAAGGGAAAGGTTTCTATGTTTTCCCTACGACATAGAAGTTCTATCCTCTCCCTACCCTCCAACCGTCCAATTTTGATCAATAGAGCCACTCATTGTTTGATTTTAGATCCGACATGACAAAATATTTTATTTTTAGTTTTTTTATACAAATTGTATGAATATGAAATTTGGCACGTGTTATCTTTTCTTTGGGGGGTACCAAAAAAAAATATTAAAATAATTTTTGATAAAATATAATGACCAAAATATCCTTTAAAACTTTCAGAGGTATTTTGGTCATTTTATTTTATTGAAAATATTTTTTTATATTTTTCGTTGTTGCTAGTTTAATAGAGGAATAGACGTCCAAAATTTGGTGTCAAAATAGTTTATAGAAAAAAATTTAAAAATAAAATACTATAGAAACACGACATTGTGATTGGGGTAATCTTAACCCTTTATTCATAATGGACAGTTGGATAAAGAAAAAGATAAAACTTTTATGCTCTAGAAGAAAGATTGCCCCCGAAACAATGTTGTACTTCCCATAAACAAATATGTCAAAAGTGCAACATTGTTTACTAGTGTTAGCCCAAGGACAACGTGACCCATGTTCAACACAACATCAAAAAAATACCGTAGGAGTTCATCATCCCAACTGATTTACTCAAAAATACATTTAAAAAAAAAAGGGAAAAAAAAAGAAAGAAAAAAGCAAGCCCCAGCCCACCCTATAAAGATATTATGCTTCCGTGGGAGTAGAATATGTATTTACTTCCTTGGGTAAAACCCCACCTAGAATTAATTTTAGTTTAAGACCCTAAATTTTGGGGATGTAGCATCTTCAATTTATGGATTAACCTAACAAAAAAATCCTAATATTAGGATTATACAGTTGGACAAAATAAGGGAAAATTATGTATATATATGTTATATTTATCATTATTACAAAAAGGTGAGGTTTGTATAGATCCGATGTTCTAAACAATCAAATTAGATCCAACCTTCAAATAGTGTCGAAAAATATTATTTCAATACTTGAAATCTTTATGATAGCCTTAAAATACATTTTGGTATTTACTTATAAAGTTTTAAGCTTTCAAAAATAGTGTAGATCGAGAGATCTATGGAAACTTGAAAATCTTGAAAATTGACGGTCCAAAATGTGTTACTAAATACATTATTTCGAAAACTTGAAATCCATTTTTTTCTGATACTGATGCATCTTAATGTGGAGATGATCAATTTGAGGATATTTGGGCAACAAAACAACCTCTTCTAGTGAAATTTTTGAGGTAGGATTTGATTGTTTAAAGCCCTGACTCTATATAAATTTTTCCTTATAAAAATACCTTCAAGTTTCCGTTATTACAAATATATCCATTTTTTCTCCATGTAACATTTTTTTTTCAAAAAAGATAGAACTGGTTTTTTCGGTTTTTTAAAAACCGAAATCTTTAAAATTTTCCATTTTTTAAAAACCAAAAATTAACTCAATTTGGCTCTTGAAAATCCGAAAATTCCTTCATGAGCTAATTTGGTTATGCCGACATGGACCACCAAGTCATTTTATATAATTTGGTGCCCCATAAAGGTCAATGAAATTGTGGGCGCATTATGGTGGAGCCGTGGGTTCAAATTGTAAATATAGATCTGCATCCATTACTACGGAAAAGTATTTTTCGGACCCTAAGTCATCTAAAAAAGAGTTTTATATTACTAAAAAAATACTTTTTTTTTTTTTTAAAGAAAAAAAGGACCATTTTTGAGCTAAAGAGAACCCTGTTTTGGTGTACATAGAATAATGGACGATCTAATGAATTACAGATTTGTTTTATTTTAACCTCTACCGTTACACAGGAAGAAATTACAAAAAGAAAGTTGATCGATTCACATTTTTTAAAAAAAAATAAAAAATAAAAAAAATAAAAAATAAATACAGTCACACTTATAGATAGAAATTACAATAAGAAAATTGATCGATCCTCCTTTAAAAAAAGGAGTGGATTGCACAATCTTCCCCAGTATAGCTTCCTTGACAATAATGTCTCCCTTCTTTGAAAAAGTCTCCTGGCTCTGTCATGGCAGATGGATTCGCATCACAAGAAGAAAAAAACCAAAAATAATAATAGAAAAATTGTGCAGTAATGGTAACAAGGAGAGCAAAAGCTTCTCGAACCACCGACACAAAAATGTAGGAAACTCCAAATTTGAATCCCTTTTGTGTGCCTATAAATTGGACCCAAGATCTGAAGGAGGAGAAGCTACGATAGAGAGAGAGAGAAGAGTTATTTGATGTATCTTTTAGTGATAAGGGTTTGTTTGTTTGGGGAAAATGGCGATTAAGCTTCATGGGAGCTGGATGTCAACTGCCACACTTAGAGTTGGCACCACTCTGACTGAGAAGGGGCTCGATTTCGAGTTCGTTCCAGTTGACATCCGTGCCAAAGAACACAAGCAAGAGAATTTCCTCCCCGTTAACGTATATATCTCTCTCTCAGAGGAATACTTGTTCTAGACTTGTTGAAGTGATTACGCTATAAAAAGCTTACAGGATTTATATGTTTATATGGTGTATAAATTGTTTTTTAAAAAGGAAAATTGTTTCATGTGGGATGGACAACATTTCTACAAATGCAGTCCAGGAAGTGTAAGCATCCATTTTAAGATGGATGCAAGTAGGTGTTTCATCTAAAAACAATGGAAACTAACGGTCTAAATGTTTTCTTACTAAAACTATTATTTCTAGTTTTTAAATTTTTTTTTTTAAAAAAATTATGAAAATATGGAAGTACCCATTCAATATTGCGATCGTCTAGGCCGTTCCTTGTTTCTTTTTTAGAAAAAGTTTATATAGAGCCCGAGCTTTAAGCAATCAAATTAGAGCCCATCTCTAAAATTTCATTGTAGGAGGTTGTTTTGATGCTCAAATATCTTCAAATTGATCATCTTGACATCCAGATGTATGAACGTGAGAAAAAAATGGATTTCAAGTTTTGGAAATAGTGCATCTTGTAACGCATTTTTGAACTGTGAATTTTCAAGATTTTCAAGTTTTCATAGATCTACACGATCTACTATATTTTAAGTTTTAAATTTTATAATTAAAGATAAAAAACATTTTAAGGCTATCACAAAGATTTCAAGTATTGAAACTACATTTTTTGGCACTATTTGAAGATGTGCTTTATTTTGATTGTTTAGAACATCGCCTCTATACGAACCACATCTTTTATCTTTTGTACATGGATGTTTCAATCATTCATACTCATTAGATGTTAAATTGGGTAGATTAGGAAGTCTTAAAACTATTTTTTGAAACTTTGTGTGTATTCAATGACACTCTTACAGCCTTCCTATTCATCTATTTTGAAATTTGAGGGACAAGAATAATTGTGACCTTCATCTACAAAAGATAAATGGTTTATTTATAAATATTTTGTAGAAAAGTATACAAAGAGACCATGTACCTTTAGTACAAGAAGATCACAATCTCATGTCTGTTATATTTTAAATCAGATAGTTGTAAGTGTATCGTTGACTAGACTCAAAGTTCAAAGTTGTGATCTCTTTGTACTAATGATGAATGGTCTCATAGTATATAATCTCATTTATTGTTCATTTGCAAATATTCCAAGTCAGTACTATCGTTTGTTTATGGGTACACAATTGAAGTAA